AGTTCCTTTATTTGGGGACAGTGCCTAGGCCAGGTTGGTGAGAAGAAACAGGCACAAAATTCAGGTGCCTGGGTTGCCCAGCAGGGATGATGGATGAGACACCAGGTGGTTGAAGGAGGCTCTCAGCTGCAGGTGCCAGGCCCGGAACGGGAAGGCATGTCAGACTTTGGGCACTGAGCCTGCTCGATGCCCACAGGGGCCAAATATTGGTGGCCAAAGTTTTTCCCACCCAAAGTGCCTACAAGGAACCAAGGGGGCAGCCTCTGCATCCCTCTTCCCCTCAGGATGGAGTCTGGGCCCAAGGGGGTCAGATTCTGCAGAGGCCAGACAGTACATCTGGTGAGGTGACCCTGCCTCAGCTGGCTGAGGACCCCCATCCCCCAGAGAGTAGGCAGCAGCTGGAAGACAAACACTTCAATGCAAGCTGCGGCGACCCATCCCAGAGCACACAGCACACGGGCGCCTCAGACACAGCTCTCCTTCCCAGAGGAAAACCAAAGTGGACACACAGCCCCGTCTCCTGCCCATGGCCACAGAACTGCAGGCCACAGACTTGCCTGGGCAATCACCTACTGGTTCTCCTCCCTGCTGGCAGCATGAGGGGATAAAGAGACAATTGGCTCAGCTGGGCTCCCAGACCACTGGCCCAGGCTGAGTCCTAGTCCCAGCTAATATCCTTCAGAGAGAGCCCCCAAGTGGAGGAGAGGAGAGGGGTGTGGCTCCTTGTCCTTAGGGATGCCCCAGGAAGACAGCTCCCTGGGCACTGAAGGGGCACTGCAGGGCAGGATGGGGAGGGGGAAGTAAACTGGGACCCCAACTCCACTGCTGGCAGGTACTCACAGTGTCTGATAGGTGCTGTCCTTGGCTTTGAGGAAGCGCAGCACAAAGAAAGCTACTGCCTGCAGGCTTAGCACCAGCACGACACCCCCGATAAAGCTGGCCCCATCAAAGCCAGGGCTATGGGCTTCAGGGACCGAGGGGCTCCCTGCAGGGTCAAGGCAGGGTAAAAAGAGGTCATAATCCCACCTCCATAACTGGCGGGCCTCAAGGCCCTAGCCCTCACTATGTGGTCCTTGAACTCTAGACTCTGAAATTCAGCCCAGACCCTGCAGGCAGCTAGGAAGTACCTGGTGGGAGGGACAGTGGCCAGGGAGGGTGGGGCCGTGTTCAGTCCTGGCTGTACTCCTGGATTGCTCTGGCTTTACACCACACACACCCTCTTTGGGCCTCCTGGTCACATGGGCCCATTGGGTTGGAACAGATGGTGGTGGCTGAGCTCTCCTCCAGCCTCTTTGTCTCTCATTAGACCAACAGGGTTGGAGGTGGATCCAGAACTTGGGCATCCAGACCCCTCAGCCCGGAATCCCTTTCAGCCTTGATTCTCAGGGTTTAGGGCTCACATATAGATGATGCGGTCCTTTTCAGGACTCCTAAGTCCTGAGACCTCAGCATCACCCAATATCAGAGCCCTTACTCAGGGAGGAAAGGGGCAGAGGGGAAAGTGGAGGTCCAGAGTCAGCAACCCGGCTGAGCTCATGCCAGAGGAATCAGCCTGAGGGTCACACTTGGCCAAAGTTGCCTCACAGTTAGAGCCAGACTTATACAGGGTCCCCTGATCCTTTCCTTTCTGGGCCATGGTTGCCAGGCTGTGCCTGGGTGGCTCCCAGCTGAGCCATATTACCCATCAACTCTGACTGGGGATTCGATTTCAGGCCCTGGGCCAGATGCTTAGGACAGGGCAGTCTGGTGGGTGGAAGATCATTCTGGGACAGTGGACAGGGGCCTAACCATGAGCTGGGTCCACCTCCTGGAGGCTATAAGAGGTACAAAGGGTCTGGGAATATGAAGAGGGGTGGTCCTGGCTGCAGCTTAAGGAGCCCCAGAGGCAGGGCAGCTAGGGGTAGAGGAGCAGAAAAGGGAGAAATGAGCTGCACAAGGCCGATCTGGGGCTTGAGCCGAGGAGCTGAGCCATCAATAATGCAGCCTTTGAGATCGGTTTCCGGCTTTAATTAACCAAGAGCCTCTCCAGCCATCCCTGCCAAGTCTGGTGACCTCCAGGCTCTGAGGGGCAGTGGGAAATGGGGCTGGGGTAGGGGTTTTCTTGCCTCTGCTCAGCCAGGAAACTGCTTTATGACCCTCTTTGAGCCTGGCAGTTGCAGTAGGACATCTCATCAGCAACCTGAGCCAGGTCCTGAAGGGTCACCCTGAGTTCCCAGAACTAGGGAGGGATAGGCACCATGAACATTTCTTCACCTCAGTGAGTCAGACACTGAAGTAGCACTATGCAGCCTCTCATAAAATCCACACAGCAACACTGTGAGGTAGGTACCATCCAGCCCATTTCATGGATGTTGAAACGGGCTAGAGGGAAATGTCACAAGTTGATGTCACAGGGCATGTCAATACCTCAGCCCAGATCTGTCTTTCCCTATACCTCTGGTCTTCCCGCTACCCCCTCCCCTGGGTAGAACCCACCTGTTGTGATCATCTTCGGTTCATCAGTGGGGTGGTGGTGGGCAGCTGAGGAGATGGGGAATCCATGACCAAACAGCTCTCCTACCCCACCTCCTGACCCCAGCCCCACCCACAGATGGACTTCTGATTCAGATCCAGCCCCTCTCTGCTCCAGACACCTGACATATGTGGGACCCTTAGTCACACAGTTCCCTCCTGCTGCCAGATGTGCCCTCTCTCCAGTTCTACCTTCAGGGCTCATCTCTGATGTCACTTCCTTCAGGAAGGCCCCTCCATTCCCTTCTGAACTTCCTAAACCCTTATTATGCCTTAAATCAGAAGCGCTAATGCCCCATCCCTTCCACACACCTGTGATTTTCAGATAAGAGAACAGGCCAGAGCAGGGAAGGGACTTCTTAGTGAGCTAAAGACAATTGAAACTGAACCCAAATGTTGGAGGGCATAGTCCACTCCCCAAGAGAAACTGGTTCCTCCTGGGGGGCAGGCTATGGCTGGGGAGACCTCAGCCCCCTCCTTCCAACTTGGCTGAGGCCAGTGGAAGCTGCCTTACCTGGACACGACTCTGAGCGGTTATAGACAGAGCAACCTTCCTTGACCACCTCGGCTGGGGCCACACAGTGTCCTGGTGGGAGAAGGTGCAAGGGGGAGGTTTTGGGGAGAGGGGCCATGGCCCTGGGGTGCAGAACTGGGTACACTCAGCTTGGGAAGGTCTCAGCTGCGTACCTGGCTCCTCTGGCTGACACTGTTCCCACACACAGCCCGAGAGGTTGTGCGCTCTGTCCCCCTCCACACAATGCTCACAAAACTCCAGTTGTTTGCAGCCTCCTTGGACAGCTGGCCAGATGTTCAGGCGGATCAGGGCTCCTCGCCCAAAGCCTCGAGCTCCTTTACCTGGGAGTGTGGTGGGAATGGGAAGGGAGCAACTTCTCAAAGTCAAGCTGCATCACCTACCCACCTCCGCCCCCAGTACTGGGCTTTCACCCCCTGCACACACCTGGAGCTTCCACAAGTGCATGATTATGCTCCCCTAGAACCTCCCCTACCTTCATTTACCCACAGCCCTGTCCCCCTCCCTTTGCATACACCTAGGCCACCACCATACTCCTGGGAGCCACCCCCCCAGCACACCTGGAGCCTATATATCACACAGGGCTCCACGCACAGCTAGAGCCCCCTTCTCCCACCCCAGGAGCTCAGTACACGTCTGGAAAGTCCCCCATTCCACAGCCCAGACTGCTCCTAGGAAGGCAGCTGGGTGAGGGGCATGCTCCACCTGCCCCTGTCTGGGCTCGGCAAGTTACCAGCCACAGCAAGCTGGGCACACAGGAGGAGGCAGCAGCAGCCGCCACAGAGGGCAGCCCGAACGGTGCGGGATCCCGGCACGGCCATGGGCACCGGGGTGGGGGATAGGGGTCGCCGGACAGCTGGAGTGTTGCGTCCCTTCTGGACTGGGCTCAGCGGAGCTTGTAAGGAGCGAGACCTGGGCAACCGGGGCGTGGCCAGGTGGGGGCGTGGTCAGGTCATTCCGGGGCGGGGCCAGTGATAGAGCGCTGGGCTCGCCGGTCCGCCAGGAAGCCAGGGGAAGGCGAGGCAGATAGGGGTGTGGCTAGTGAACGCCACTTGGTGGCCTGAGTTCAGCAATCTGGGGCGGGGCGTGGACAAAGCGGGCGGGGTCTATGGGAGACTTCTTGAAAACGTGGTTACTGGGTGTCCCCAAGGCTAGCATGGTGAAAACTTTGTTAAGTAGTGACTGTGTTTTTCCCTGCTTCATAGATGAGAAAACTGAAGTTCAGAAAAGGTGACTAATCAGAGGTCACAGAGTTAGTGGCAAAATCTGGATTTGAATCGATGTCACTTTTCTCTGCATTCAGGCTCAGTGCAGGCCAGGCGTTGCCAGGTTCACTCTCTAACCAGGGCCCCTGACCGCTGGGACGGGCCTCAGCTCGCCCCTCGCCTCTAGTTAACCAGGCCTAGCTTTGGTGACCCTCTCCATCTTGCTTCAGCCCTTGTATCCTGTTCTCTATACCCTTCAACCCCCGTGTCTGCCTCCAGCCCACCACACCTTCTGGCCAATTCATGGGTCATGCCACTGGTAGGTCAACTGGGCCTTTCAGTAGCCTTCCCCATAGCCACCTCTCCTGCTCTGGGACCAGCTTCTTTGGGCTCCCTCCCTCCACAACCACTTCTCAAACTCCTTAAGGGGCACCACCTCCTCCTTTTCTCCATCTTCCTCCTCCTCCCCCACCTGCTTCTCCTCCTAACCCTCTCTTAGTGGAGGGTGGCCCAGGTGAGTCCTGAGTCCTGTTCCACACTCTTCTGTGGTCATCTTGGCAATTCCTCTGCCATCGGCTTCCATTTAAAAGCCAGCAGGCTAGTTCTGGCCCCGCAGCTCCCATACCTGTAACTAATAACACCAGTCAGCAATTATCAACCCCTTACATCTAGAAGAATGTCCATTTTAAGAGCTTTTACTCCCAATTTCTCCTCTAATGTCCACAATTATCCTCTAGGCGTAGGTTTTGTCACCCCAAATTTGCAGGCTGCTAGGGGACACACAGTTCCCAACTCAGCAGGCCAGGATTGAATGATGCTGGAAGCCTCTCTCTCCTCTACTGTGCCTCTGGTGAGTCCATCCACTTCCTGGACACCTCCACCTAAGTGTTTCTCAGGACTCTAAAACTGCCTGGTCCCTGCTCCCCACGCAAGGAGACCACATTGTTCTTCCCAGTTGCCCAGATTGGAAACCAAGTCTCATCTTCACCCCTCCCTCTGCCTTGAACACCCAGATTAAATCCTTCAGGTCCTGTGCCCTTGCCCTCCTTCTCCAGACTCTCAGTCTCCAGGCTTCTCCTACTCTGACTCTCACAGTGCACCTGAAACCATACATTTGACCATGTCTCTTCTAGCTAACTTTTCAACAATGGCTTGGCCTCCACAACCCTTTGATTCCTCGATCTAGAAGTCTCTCTAGCCTGTCTTGGGCTCTCCTCATCACCTTCCACACTCTAACGAGACAGAACAGACTTGGTGCCTACAGCTCAAGCAGCTAAGGAGCCACATACACCAGAGCTGGTGGGTTCAAATCCAGCCCAGGCCTGCCAAACAACTACAACCAAAAAATAGCTGAGCATTGTGGTAGGCGCCTGTAGTCCCAGCTACTTGGAAGGCTGAGGCAAGAGAATTGCTTAAGCCCAGGAATTGGAGGTTGCTGTGAGTTGTGATGCCATGGCATTCTACCCAGGGCGACAGCTTGAGGCTCTGTCTCAAAAAAAAAAGAGAGAGAGAGAGAGAGAGAGAGATAGAACAGCATCTCACCCTCCCCCTTCATGCCTTCTGGCCTTTATCCCAGCTGCTATCTCCCCTACAGGGTCCTCCTCCAGCCCAACTCCACCTAACTACTCCTTCAAGACACCACTAAAAGCTTCCTCTTGCAGCTTTCTGTGACTATCTCAGAACAAAGCTGATCTGCTATAGCACTTGTCTCAGCTAGAGAATTTCTGTAGGGCCCCCCTAGCAGAGTTTCTGCTCCGGTCTGTTCACCACTCAGCAGAGTGATCCTTTGCAAACATAAGTCAGACTGTATTACTCTCCTCCTTAAACCCATTGGCTTCTCATCACTCTCTTCAACCACATGATCTTGCCCACCTCACTTAGCTCACGCCCTTTTCTTCCCCTTTGCTGATTCAGCTCCAGACACACTGGCCTTCTCTCTAAACCTCAAGCCCATCAACCCCCAAACTCTTTTATTCTCTCTTAAAGTGACCTACTCCATGACCTACCTACCTCGAAGAGGCCTCCTGTTTATTCTACATTACAACACCTACACCTGCTCTTTCCTTCAAAATATATATCAAATGTATAATATAATTAATTAGTCCTTTTTTCTGGCTAAAGGCAGGAACCAGACTGCACCATGTTGTGACTGTGTACATGTTTGTCTGCCCCACTGGTCTTTGAGACCCTCAAAGGCTCCCTGCTTGATATCATATTAGGTATCTATTTGTAGATTGCACATCTCTCCCCTTTACAAGGGAAGCTCCCTGAAGAAGGCAAGGATTTTTGTTCACTGATGCATCCTCTGTGCCTGGCAACTAGTAGATGCTCAATAAACATTTATTGATTGTTGAAAATGCAGGATTGTGCCCAGATCATCCCTCTGAACCTTGCATCCACTGAAATCCAAGCCCTGGGGAACTTGCAGTGAATATTGGCTGAATGAGTGGGTCTGTGCTAAGAATGCAATGTCCAATCCCTGGGTCTTGGACGAGAGGCTCATATGTGGAGATTCTCTCTCTCTCTTTCTTTCACACATTCCTCCTTTAAGAATTTAGGCCCGTGACTCAGTGGGTAGGATGCCGGCCACATACACCCAGGCTAGCAGGTTCAAACCTGGCCCAGGCCAGCTACACAGCAATGACAACTACAGCAGGAAAATGGTCGGGTTCAGTGCGGCGGGCGGCACGAGAATCGCTTAAGCTCACGAGTTTGAGGTTACTGTGAGCTGTGACGCCACAACACCCTACCGAGGGCGACATAGAGTCTAAAAAAAAAAAAGGACGGCTCACCTGGAAGTCATGCTCAGAGCCATCTGGTGGCCATCTGGGAAACTGCAGGTATAGTCAGCCCTATTCAACTTTACCCCTCAGCCTTTGGGGGACAGGGTGACAGGTAGGCTAGAAAGGAAGGCACAATGGACTTGGTTACAGTGGACCTGACTTCATCTTCCAGCTCTGCCATGTGATTTGAGGCAAGTCCCTTGGCTTCTCTGGGTTTCACCTATGAAATGGGGGAACATAGTCCCTTAACTTTGCAGAGTTGTTATATAAGCACTGGGCTCTGGTCTGGCCCCTGGTAGGTGGCAAGGAAGCAAGGAGGTAGGGGCAGAGGGCATGAGGAGAACAGGAAGGAGTGCTGCTACATCCTTAGAGCAGGTGTTCACGGAGAGAAGAAGTGATGGCTTCGGGTGGCGCTTGTGGCTCAAAGGAGTAGGGCGCCAGCCCCATATGCTGGAGGTGGCAGGTTCAGACCCAGCCCTGGCCAAAAACTGCAAGAAGCGATGGCTTCGATTGTCCTGATGGCATGAGCAGAGAGAACACAGGTGAAAATCCATAGCCCCACCTTAGTCTCTTGAGTTTCTGGAGTTTCTCAGAGTTAGAAATATCATTGAACTCTTTTCCTCCATGGTTCCTGAGGATCAACCTCCATTGTGAATGACAGGGTAATTATCGGGATCAGGAAGTTCATGACCAACTGACTACTTCAGCAGAAACAAATGGTCACAGTGATCAATATCCTTCACCCTCGGAAGGCAATAATCCATGAGCCAGAAATTGGAAAGAAAACTCATCAAAATGTACAAGATCACATCTTTGCATTTAGATTCAGAATCCTTTTTGGGTGGTGGTGAGACAGCTGGCTTGGGCATGATCTGCAATTCCTTGGATTATGCAAAGAAAAATTAACCCAAACACAGATTTGCAAGTCATGGCTTGTATGAGAAGAAAACACTAAAACAACACAAGAACAGAATGAAGATGGTCACCGGACCACCCAAGGACAGTGTTGGAGCAGACAGGCAAAAAGGTTCTGCAATGACTTTATCTGCAGTGATGGTGCAGAGTTTTCACCAGAGGATCAATAAACTATGAAGACTTTTAAAAAATCATTGCTAGTTTGTCAAAGGGTTAAAGTTAGAAAAATAATAATAAAAGTCATTGCCACTCAGAACAGCAGAAGATTGTCTCTGATAAAAACCCCCCTTTATTCCAACCTTCTCCCTTCTCTGAGATACCCACAGGGCTCTGTGGGGACCCAGCTTTGATATAGGGGAGAAAGTGGATACCTGAGCCTTGGAATATGGATGCCCTTGTACCCTACCTCTCTGACATCCCCACTTTCCTTAACACCAGACAAACTACTGTTCTCTCTGTGCTTTTCTTCTTTTATTCTGGCTGCTCCTTTTTAGTTTAATCATCCAGACAAAAAATAGCTGTTGAACACTGATCACATGTCAGGCTCTATTCTCCAGCAGAAAACAGGACATAGTCACTACCCTAATGGAAATTATGTTCTAGTGGGCTGACACGTAGCACAAACAAATGTGAGTAAACATATGATTTCAGGAGGGCTTCATGCTCTGGAAACTAATAACTCAAGAGAAGGGGAGGAAGAGTGATGAGCAGGAGAGTGGTAATCTGGGGTGGAGTTCAGGGAAGCCTGTTTCAGAGGAGACTTGGGAGCTGAGATCTGGATGAAGAGGAGGGTCTTAGGCAGAGGGAATGGCCAGTGCAAAGGGCCAGGCACAGAAGCAGCCTTGTCCACACTCTGTGCCTTTAATGGCGGAGGAGTCTCTGAGGCCCCTCCACCTACCTGCTCTGCTTCCTCTCCCA